CGGTTCACACCTGGGCATTTTGTAACGCGTTTGAACGCTCTGCAAAACGCTCAAACACCGAAATCCCATTATTTCCTATGGGTATGGTTCACACCTGGGCGTATTACAGGCCGTATGAACGCGCTACAAAACGTCCTATGCCCAAAGAAGTACAGGAGCTTCTTTGGGGCGTTTTTGTTGCGCGTTTCCATTTGGGTACAGCCAAGTAGCGTTTGTCGCGCATTTTTTACCGTTAATCGCGGTAAAACGCGTGTCACGAAACGTGCGACAAACACGCATATTCGATACGCCTAGGTGTGAACCCAGCCTACCCAGGCTACCTGGCTGTATCCCAATGGATACGCGTGGCAAATACCCCCCAAAGAAGCTCCTGTACTTCTTTGGGCGTAGGGCGTTTTGCAGCGCGTTCCTACGTGCTGTAAAACGCCCAGGTGGGAACCATGCCCATAGGCAATCATTGGTTTTCACATGTTGAGCGTTTTACAGAGCGTAGGAACGCGCTGTAAAACGCCCAGGTGTGAACCAGGCCTTAGTCTGCTAATATAGCTCCCAATCCTAAACTTACTATATTGGATGTTACTGACACATGTTTAAAGATGAAAAAACCCATCTGGGTTGCCTGAAAAGCCCTTGTACTGTCAAAACCTTTCCAAAACACTCCTTACATCAATCTATTCTGTACGAAGACTAATTTGCTCCTAATAAGCTGTTCTCCCCTACAAAATGTTTTTCTGAGCAATATCTGTTTGAAGAGGCTTTTATGAAAAGTGGGATGTTCCCACCGAGCATCCAGCTATTTCCTGTTTTAAAAACCACTGAATATATCTACTGAGGTTTCCTAATTAGGTTGACAAAAAGCTAGAGATCCTTTCCAAATTTGTATTATCCTTGGCAGGAACCGCTATGCTACCCGACATAGCTGACATGTCAATATGTGAGACTTTAGGGAATGAACTAAGAATATGTCTGAGGAACCCAAAATTATCCTTGCCAATCATTTGGTTATAAAGCGCTTAGAGCTTATGCTTGCTGCATTACACTATTGTGTTGACGGATTAGTGGATATTGTCTGTCTCATTTCCCGTATAAGTCTCCTGTCTGTTAATATGCAGATAACTCTTTGGCTAAAATGCTGAGGTATTAAAACAACAATGCAAAGAAAAAAGAACACACCTGTGCATGCCTTTTGACAAAGAACATCTTTTTGTGCTTCTTTGGATATCTTTTATTAAAGCGGTCACTGATGGAAAGCATACTCTTACCTCAGGATTCGGTTGGAAAGTATTTACATTCAGAGTGTAGACAATTGGCAAGCAGACTACCTCAGCTGGCAATACTTGGACCTGGGAGAAAGGTCTCTTCACCTGGAGGTGTTTCAGGATCTCTATCACAGATGGGGTTGCCGAATCTGGATCTCCTGGCCTCCACATTCAGCAGCTTTGTGTCCTGATTCAGAGATCCTCTGGCGATAGCAGTAGATGATCTGGTGGCTCTGCTGTACATCAGAGCAACCTGATCCATGCCTTTCCACCTCTGAAGCTCCTTCCTTTTCTTCATTACAGGATCAAGATGGAGGGTGTTCCAGTGATTCTCATAGCATCAAAGTGGCCCAGATGGATGTGGTACTTAGATTTCATCAGACTCCTGGTAGACAACTGTGGGCTCTTTCAGATTGAATGGATCTTCTGTCCAAAAGATCAATTTACCTCCCTGCTTCGCAGGCGCATGCTTTGATGACTTGGCCCTTGAACCCCAGGCCTAAAGAGATAGGGAGCCTTTGTGATTCATGATTCCTACGCTCCTGAAAGCTAGGAATTGAACCTCCCTGAAGGTCTACTGTTGCACATGAAAGGCATACTTTGCATGGTGTTAAGCAAAACATTTTCATACCAGCAAATACTTAATAGGAAGATATTGTCTTTTTTGTAAACTGGTCTGGATCAACATTTGGCCCCTTAGTACGGTTAAGGGTCAAATTTCGACCTTTGCCAACCTGTTTCAAAGACAGATTGGCTCTCATTCTTTTGTTACGGCCTGTGTACATGGTGCCTCTCACCAAACTCCATAGGCTCTCAATTTGGGTCTTTCGGCTCTCCAACAACACCTTTTGAACCCATCAGGGATATTCCTCTTTTCCTCTCTCACCTCTTCTAGGCATGTGTCTGAGCTAGCTGACTTGTCTTGTAAAGAACCATTCCAGATCTTGCACAAGGACAAGATTATACTGAGGCCCAGTATCTTCTTTCTTCCTAAAGTAGTTTCTGCTTTTCACCTGTTCACTTTAAAATGACGGTATTGTGCCATATTATTGTAGACTTATAAATACAAATGTGCGAAAGCTGCCAGAAAAGGGTTGGCTAGATTCCAGACTGGAAAGTACACGGGTAGGCGGGAGATGCCAGCTGCAGTGGGCAAGTAGAGAATATCTCACTTCTTTTTCAGAACCCATGATTGGTGTTAGGTGTATGATTCCATAATGGCTGTTGCCTGCTCTGATAGATCAGTGATATGATACATACACCTAGCACATCAACTTTTTAATCCTCCATTTTAAAACGCTGTGCTTGATGTTGTTGCTGTTGTCAGTTTACATGTGACAGTATTAAAGATTAATTCCAGCTAACAGGTGAAATCAGTGAGCTTCTTTTATCAAGTAAACACAGCAACAATGCTAATATCTTGAAAGTTCACCCCATGCATCTTAATCTGAGTTGTGTTCTTCGTCTCTGTCTGCTTCCTGCATCACCAGCTACATTTAAATGGAATCTGATTGGTGGCTGTCAAAATCTTAAAGTGACACTATACTCAGGAGTTAAATCTTAAAAATGCATTCAAGTAGCTTAACTATTAACAATAATGCTACTTATTTGTGTATCATTCGGCTGTAGATCCTCCAATCATCTCTGAATTGGTACTGACACTGTCCTTCCTACTGGAGGGTGGCTACTTTTGTTCCCCATGGTCCCTGTGTGTGTTGTAAAGTAACCACCGCTCCAAGCTCATTCCTGTGATAGATTACAATCTTAATACAAATTAGTAAACTAAATGTGAGATTGTAGTCCATCACGGGAGTGAGCTTGGAGCAGAGGTTACTTTACAACACACACAGGGACCATGGGGATAAAAAGTAGCCACTCTCCAGAAGAAAGGACAGTGTCAGCACCAATTCAGAGATGATTTGAGGATCTACAGCCGAGTGATACACAAATAAAATACATTATTGTTAATATTAAAGGTACTTGAATGTATTTTTACAATTTATCTCCTGAGTTTAGTGTCACTTAAAAAAGGACCTGAACTGTGGAAGCCGTGTTAAAAAAGGCAGGCAGAGGACACAGGACTAGTCACCAGCATGTGACATTAACTGCAGGTGAATCAATCACTGTAATTTGAAACACACGTACTAAGAGGATTTGGCTGCAGTAAATGTTCGGTGAATGTCACATCCACTGCTTTATAAATATACAAGGGCTTGTTAACACCATCTCTAGACCGGTTCTGGACTTATTTCTGCATAAGTATATATGCACATTTTTGACACGTTCTGGTGCATTTTTTGTCTCTTTTTTTAAAAAAATTGGTTTTGCTTGGGTTTAAGTGCATTCTGGTGCGTTTACATTCATTTTTGTGTGTTCTGGCGTGAAAAAAGGCATGCTGCTGTGCTTATTTAAAAGCTCTGGAATGGAACGCAGTGGTGTGAACTAGTTTAATTTAAACTAGGGATGCACTGATATATCGCCCGCCGAAACATATGGGCCGAAAATTGCACTTTTGACATAATGCCGAAAGTGCCATTTTCCTGCCGATACGTCGGCGCATCCGTGCTTTCTTTCCTCCCCGCTGGGCACTGCTCTGTGTCCAAGCAGGGAGGAGATAAAGTGTGATAGCCGGCTGAACACTGCGGGAGGAGAGCGCTGTGAGCGCCCGGCGTCTCTCCTCCCACACCGCTCAGCCGCCTATCACAGATCGGTATGGGGACGGAGACAGGCCACGCTGTCACAGGAGGCTGGGTTCTCCTCCCTGCACCGCTCGATCAGCCTCCTGTGACAGCGTGTCAGAGAGGAGAGCAAGTTACAAACACTCAGTGATCAGTGATCGCTGAGTGTGTGTACATAATTGAGGATATGGTATGCTGACTATATCCTCAATTATGAATGAATGAATGGGAGTGATCTACATCCCCTCCTGTTCATTCATAGTTGTAGTTATAGTAAACATACTATGTACTCATGTTATTAATGAACAGGAACACTCATAAAGGATTCCTGTTCATTGATAACAGGGGACACAGAAAAAGAGATTGAGGACTCTGTGTTCTCAATCTCTTTTTCTATTTTAAAAGACCCCCTGATATTTCCCCAAAGCCCCTAAAAGTAATGTAAAAAATAAAAATATTTAATAAAAAATGAATTAATAAATTAAAAAAAAAGTGAAGTAAAAAAATTAAAATATATAATAAAAAATGAATAAAAATATTAAAAAAAATTAAAAGTTTATAAAAAATTAAATATTTGAAAAAAATTAAAATAAAAAACATTTTCAGTATCGGTTTCGGCCTGGCAATTTTTTTTATTTCTGTTTCGTTTCGGTTTTGAAATTCAATTTCGGTGCACCTCTAATTTAAACCCATTGGAATTACTGTGTGTGTGTGTACTTGGGGCAAATAAAAGTCACACTGGTCTGGAGATGGTGTGAACAAGCTCCCAGAGTGATTCTTGAAGGTGTTTTGTACTCATACTTACATTATGTGTAGTTGAGCCCTGGCAAAGAATAAAGTTCAGAAAAAAGGCGAGATCCAGAAAGAGGCAATGATGTCATGAATTAAATAAAAGTGGAAATAAAAGTTTGCTAGTGGGGCAAATGAAGAATACACAACAAATATGTCTGTGCATTAAAAGAAACAAGAAATAGAATAAGTGTCATGGATAGAGAGACCTATATTTTAATTTCATAACCAAAAATAAATAAAATCTACCAATAAGAAATAAATAAGCATGTTAACAATAAGTAACAATGGAATAAGAAAATGCTAACATTGGCTCGAGACTGTAACCCAAGAAGAGCAGAACGTCAAACAATACCTTTCAATTGTTGAAGATATAAAGCATGAAAATTAAATCCTGAACACTATATGTTATGGAACCTGATTATTCTGGAAGGCATCATATAAAAGCTACTTTGCATAAGATATGACTTTGTATGAAGCTGAACAGTCTATTGATGACACCATGGAAATCGCAGCTCCAAATTATTGTCCAAAATAGATAAAATGTCTGTTCTGCTTGTGCTAGATCACATTCTCAAACAGCTGCATAGAGCACATGATGTTTTCATCCTGCAAAGAGAGAGATTGGAAGAGAAACCTTTTATAAAAGACTTCAAACAGCATCTTCAGTTAATATAAAAAATGTATTCATCAGTTTACATATAATCACTGCATATGGCCCAGCAGTCATCACCCATATCTGCTTTGCCCAACTCCAACCAAAATGTTGTATTCTGTATTGAATAGAGCAGATAAGGGTTATAACCTGTGTTAGCTTTCTGGGGCTTTCTATACCCCAGTTGGGCAGATCTCCCCTCACTTCCTGCCAGGAAAGGAAGTGTATGAAAATTTCTGCAATGGGCACATGCAATTAGAACTTCTTACATTGTTTTTATCGCTCTGTGCCTTCTTGTCTTGCGTGTCAAATTGCAGGATTGTGAACTGAAATTGGATACTGTTTTGTCCAGTGTGAGAATGCATGGATCTCTCCAGCAGCTCAGTAGGTATCCAGTTTCAAGCCATCACAGTCCTGATGCATGTTCTCCCTTAGTTATCCCTGATGAAGGGGTATTTGTATGAGCTCCCGTAATAGAATGGCCATTTCTATACTGGTCCCCTCAACCCTACATTGAAAAAAGATTTATCTGGACTATTAAACGGAGTGTGGCGCTTCAGTTTGCACTCCTGAACTTGGCACCACAAATCAAGCAGACAGACCTCTAGAATGTAGAAGCTGCCTGTCTGTTAGTCAGATTACCTACACTGACTCTTTCGCATCCTACATCATCCAGTTGGACAAACCTTCCGGGTCCAGCACTTTTATTCCACTTCTTGCCTTGGTGACACCCTGCACCCCCCCCCCCCCTGTTTGTTTTTCATGAACAGGAAGTGAGGATAAATCTCCCAAATGGGGTCATGTACAGAAGTAATTTTTAGGGATGCACCAATATATCGGCCACCGAAACATATCGGCCGAAAATGGCACTTTTGGCAAAATGCCGAAAGTTCAATTTTTCTGCCGATATATCGGCGCATTCGTTCTTTATCTCCTCCCCGCTGGGCACTGCTCTGTGTCCCAGCGGGGAGGAGAGAAACTGTCACAGGCGGCCGAGCACTGCAGGAGGAGAGCGCTGGGAGCGGCCGGCGTCTCTCCTCCCTGCACCGCTCAGCCTCCTGTGACATATCAGGAGAGTGGCCATGTGGGCGGAGACAGCCAACGCTTTCACAGGAAGCCGGCCGGTGGTGTGGGGGAGGAGTCAGCTGTCAGATTGAGCTCTCCTCCCCGCACCGCTCGCTCCGCCTCTTGTGACAGCTATCAGGAAGCAGAGTGAGGTACAAACACATACTGTATCCCAATTATGAATGAATAGGAAGTGATCTACATCACTTCCTGTTCATTCATGATTGTGGTTCTAGTAAACATACTATCTCCACAAGTTATGAATGAACAGGAACACTCAGTATAGAGGATTCCTGTTCATTTAGAGGATACAGAAAAAGAGATAAAGGACTTTGTGTTCTCACTCTTTTTTTCTATTTCAAAAGGGAAATATCAGGGGCCTGTTTAGACAGGTTTCGGCCCGGCATTTTTTTACATTTCGGTTTCGTTTTAAATCTTCATTTTGGTGCACCTCTAGTAATTATTGAACAGAATTTACATTTTTGCAACTCATTCAAAAAGTTCACATTTTCTGTAGCTGCAATAATTTCTCGATTTGATCCATGTATCACTTTCTGGAACATGCTCTGAATGTTGTTTCAAAACAGATGTCCCGGAAAATAGTTAACTGATACTGTTGAATTACATGCGTTTGAACTCTCCAACTTGCTAAAGGATTTGCAAATGTAACTTTATTTTAAACAGTCCTGCCCCACTGCATTGCCAGAGTGCTGGCTCCACTGTTTTCTGGAGCACCTTTACAGCATCCTGTGCCACGAGGCTGCTCATTGGACAATTAATCAGTATAATCACCTCTGTCCAATAGGTAGGCTGCTCACACAGGAAACTGGAGAGCTGAATCAGGTTCCAGGCGAAGCAGCAAAGGTGAGTAAATCAAAAGACTGGCTGAACAGAAATTCAATTCCTCTGGCCGGTAAAATACACACATAGGGATATCCAACAAAACCACATAAAGCTTTTCTCAGATGCTTTGATAAATGGGGCCCATAATTCCCGCTGTGTTTTAATCACAATGTCATGTTAGTAAACCCTCCAACACATTACATTTCAGTGATGTGTGGAAAGAAAGCAGACTAGTAAGCAACAGTGAGTCAGTTTTGAAGTTCTTTTAAAGGAATTTTTTCCAAGAAAATCATGACCACGTCTAATTACATGTCAGAGAACGTATTTCTTTTTCTTATATGGTCACTAGAAAATGAAGTTTGGGGTATGAGATCTCACAGCTTGCTTATGCTTTGAAGCACAGTGTACTGTAACCCGGGGTCTCAGCAAGTTAACTTTGTGTTTGATGTTTAATAAGCTCGCACAGACACTCACACACTTTATTGATATTGAAGTCACGATCCAATTCTGAAAACTGCGGCTTTTTCTATTGCACTTCATTAAATATGAGAAATTTCCGCTGATGTTTTGCCATTTAGCATACTTTATTCATCACAATCAACCCACATTGTTTTAAGTATTCTGAATTATTTCTCTTTAAATCGACCATTTGAAATGGGTAGCTGAAAGTATTTTCTATGTTTAGACTGTAAATGAACCGATTCATTCTGAATTATGTTGCAGACTTGTTCATTGCTAAGTTACCAGCACATTACCAAGCCAATAGTCACCTTCCCGAACCCTCAGACCAAAGATTCCTTTACAGTAATGTTTTTTATGTGGACCTTTTTATTACAGGATGGGACAGACCATGACGTTGTTAACTAACATTTTTTGTCAGAGGATAACTGCCCACTGACAATGATCATGTGCTGGGAACCCACCATGCCATATGTCATTCGCAGACTTAACGGTGACAGTAGTTTTTATAGGTAGTCCAGCTATAATAGTTTTATTTTAGATACTTACTTTTTGGCAGCTTTCTATGAATTCATCTATAGTAACTACTCCATCTTTATTTATATCCATTTTCTGAAAAATGAACATAGATTAATCAAGTAAATTATGAATAAAGCCAATAAAGGGTTCTAAGAAATGTATACTTCCTTCCTTACCTTCCCCCGTTTCCTCCCTTCTTTCCTACGATATCCCCCCTCCATCTTTCCTGTCTCTTTCTTTTGTACTTTTTTTTCTCCATTTTTTGCTTTTTTTCTTTCTCTCCTTCATTCTTTCTTTTTCTCTCTCTTCCTTCTTTATATCTCTCTATTCGTATCCTTCTTATTTTTATCATTCTTTTCTTCCTCTTTCTCTGCCTTTCTTATTCTTTCTCTCTTCCGCTTTGTCTACTTTGCCTTATTTCCCTTTTTTTCCCTTTATTGCCCCTCTTTTTTGACCATTGTTTCTTCTGCTATCTCGTCCTTCTTTTCTCTCTCTTTCTTACCCTTCCTTTTTTCTTTTTTTTCTGATTCATTCTAACTCTGTCTTTCTTACCCATTCTACCTCTTTTTTTTGGCCTTCCTTTCTTCTCCTTTCTCACCCGTCCCATCTCTCCTTTTTTCATCCTTCCTTTTTCCCTTTTTCTTACCCTTTATATCTCCTCTGTTTCTTATCCTTTCTTTCCTCCACTTTCTCACCACTCTTATCTGCTCTTTTTCTCATCCTTCCTTTCTCACTCTTTCTACCTCCTCTTTTTCTTGCCCTCCCTTTCTTAACTTTTTTCACCCTTCCTAACTCTATTGGTTCTTGCCCTTCCTTTCTCGCCCTTGCTTTCTCCACTTTCTTGCCCTTCCATCTCTTCTTTCCTGCCCTTCAATTATTCTTCACTTTCCTTTCTTTCCTACCTATTCTCCTCACCCAAAGTGCTCAGTTATCCATTGCAGACATAACCTCTTCACTGTAGTATCAGTATTATACTGTGTGTTAGTCATTTTAGGAATAACCTTACCTGGAAGAAATTCTCCACGTGTTGTTTTGGCGCATCGTCCCTTACAAGGGGATAAGTACATTTGCCCATCATGTCATAAATTGCCTTCATGATGTCAAGCATTTCCTGTTAATACACAAGTTATTTGACTTTGTTCACATTCTTCAATCATGATATGCCTCAGCTCAGAAGATGCAGTGTTTTTCTTATTGTAGAGATAGCAACACATCAGATTTTAGTTTTTATGGTTGCTGCCATAAATTTAAAAATTACCTTATTTTTTCCTTAAAATGGTACATTTTGTCAGTTTAAACATTGGGTATGTTTTCTATTTTCTATTATGACTAAAATATGGATTTATGAGATTTATAAATCATTGCATTCTGTTTTACTGCAGATTTTACAACTTTTGTGGAATTGGGGTTGTACAACTAAAGGCTCCTGTATGACAGTCTGAACAAGTACCAAATCTATAAGATGCACAAACCTCATAAATGAAACAAAAAATGTCCTTTACCTTCCCTGACTGAACCAAATCGTACTTCATTTGTGTCTCTTAGTGGGAGGGTTTCAGCAACAGAAATAGTGCTTTCAATCCAGTGGGCCTGTGATGATTGACATGGCCATGCTACATGCTTGTGAATCAGCAGTGACAATGCTGATAGACATGGCCCCTGCAACTTTTTTCATTCCACAGTAGTGTGCACTGGCACAGACTACATGAAAGTGGCAACTCATGAGCAGTGCACCATCATCACCACTTCATCACATAAATTTGCATTTGGTGAACTTCACTGGCAAGAACAAAAGGTATTTGTGGGACTTCATAGGGGGACTAAGAGAAAACTCTGCGAGGAGCAAGGAGCACATATTTGTTGTATACTTTTCTTTTCTCATAGTTATCTGTTTTATTCCGTTTACAAGCTGTGACCTCCTCTCCAAAACTTCATCCTTTATACCTTAAAATTCTCTAACAAGTGGTACTGCAGCTGTAAACTGCAGATCTCCCTCCCTGGAAACAAGGGGTCCATGGGTGGAGGACCTCTCTGTACAGAAGTAGTACTCCTAGTTTACATGTAAACTGGTTAAGAAAATTGCTTATGACTGCAGGTAGAAATATTATAAAGATATAACAGACCAAAAGGGATCAAATAAGAGAAGGGTTCCATACACTTTAATGTTGGATGGCCCAATGCAGCAATTCCTGGATGAATAAAATAAGGCCCTAAGGAGGTATGCTGTATTAACCACCTCCCGTCCGCCGAACGGGAGTCTTCTGGATGTGGGTGGGAAAACGGCAGAATTCTAAACAGCCAGCGATGGCCATTTACATACAAGCGGTCCGGCACCTGTAAAGACACCCGATCGCTTGTATGCTGCATCGCTTGTATGCTGCCGGGGCGGCAGGGCGCAGAGGGGCACCAGCGGTGCCCTTGTGGGGAAGTTGCCGAGATCACATGTAAACAGTGTGCAGCATCCTCCCCTCCCCCCTGCACTTAATAGAAACTGGAGAAAAGCTGATGAAGCAGATCTGTGCTTCATCAGCTGCTTCTCTAGGGACCCCTGATGTCTCCATAAAGGGGACCTGTCACTGTAATTTGATATAACAAAGGGGGATTCTTATCCCCATATGTGATAACAATAAAGTTAAGAGTAAAACAAAACAAATTGGTCACAAAATAAATAAAATTTACACACAAACAAAACCCCACAAAAATGTTTTAAAGTCCCCCACCCCCACATAGATGCGCAAAAATGTGTTAGGTGCGTCTACACGCAAAACCGACAATTGCGCCAATTACACCGCACTTGTTACATATCACCGCAAACGTCGCAGTGACAGCAATAATTCTAGGGCCATCAATCACTGATAACACTAAACTGATGAGCGGTAAAATCTTTCAAAGCCCCGTTCACATTGAGCGATTTATCGCTGTAATTCCCGCAATATTGTGGCAAATTACCGCGTGATATCGTGCTCCAATGCATTTCAATGGGGCAAAGGGTCCTGCTGTCGCGGGTCGTGTGTCGCTACAGTAGGATCCTTTTTGGAGCGGATTTAGCCACGATTCAAGCTTGCTCAATGCAAGCTTGAACGAGATATCACGCGGCAAATCTCGCGATATCGCGCTGCAAATCTCGCGATATCGCGCAATATGCAAATCGCGCGACAAACGCGCGATTTGCATATCGCGCAGTGGGAACGGGGCCTAAAGCGTCACTTATGGCCAATTTTGGGTATGGTAGTTTTTTGCGGTTTTGCGGGTGTGCACAATTTTAAGGCTTCACATGTTTGGTGTCTATTTACCTGACGTGACCCCGTCTTTTATATTTTACCAAACAATTGGGTAATAATAAATTTTTCCTAATAGGGTTGCACAGATACGAAGTACAGTACACGGTACAAGAACAAGTACCGATACTTTTGAGCTCCAAGACTACACTAGAGAAAAATTCAAAAATTAGGAGGCAGCTGTCATTTGTAAGGAGCACACGGAGCTCCTGAGATTTGTACATCTCTGTTTTAATGTACGATTTTGTTTTTATAAATATAAATAAAGGGATGCACAAATACCAGGTTTGCGAGTACGAGTACTGGTACTTGCCGAGTACTTACAAGTACGAGTACTGATACATTTTTGTTTATTGTTTATTGTTTTTCTAAAACAATACAGATTAATGATTTCAGGACAGTGGTGGAGCGCCAGAGCCAGGTCCCAGCTGCAACCGCTGCAACCCTGGTAGTTCTCATGAAAATGCCAAGTATCTGCACTAGTACTCGAAAAGTATCTGGACATCCCTATTTCCTAACATAATAAAGGGAAAACTGTTTTTTTTTTTTCTTCTCTGTACTTTTTTTGTTATATAGTAAAAAATAAATACCCCAGTGGTGATTAAATACCACCAGAAGAAAGCTCTGTCCCCACAAAATGGTATACAATTCATTTCAGTACAGTGTTGCATGACGGAATAAATGTCAGTCAAAGTACCGCAGCGCTGAATACTGAAAAATGGCCTGGCCAGGAAGGGGGTGTAACCACCGCAGTCAACAAGTGGTTAAATGTATTTATTTCTGACTTAAATAGATCTTTAACCACCAAATGTTCCATGTTTATTAGAACAGAATGCTGCAGCTAATTAATTGTAGTTGAGGATTGGAACAATTTTATTTTTCTTCTTACAGTCAATCAATAAAACATAGACATAATGGTGCTTACCTCTTTAGTTATATAGCCATCTTTATTGATGTCATATAAATTAAAAGCCCAGTTAAGCTTTTCTTGTACTGTCCCTCGTAGCAGTGTAGAGAGACCCATTATAAAGTCCTGCATGAAAGAAGGAACGTTAGAGTTATGGTATGTTAAGCAAATCATATTACTGACCAGTGGCTCAAAGGCCTTTTAAGTACCTTTCATGCAGTGGGGAAAGTTGGAGGTTAGTAGTCACTGGAGCACACTCACTAGCAGGGAGGAACTCCAGGCAGAAATGTTATTAACCCTTGCAGTGGGGCTACCCCATGGCACTGGAAGGGTTAACTGCTAATTTTTTTCCTAGGGTAAAAAAAAAAAAGTTATACTTACATGATCCTCGGAGCCTGCAACGATCCCTCCAGCCTCTCTACTCCTCCCCTGCAAGGATGGTATGTCTCACAGCGTCCTCACGTCCTGTATCTGTATTAGACATGATGACTTTAGGATTCCTAGGTGGCTGCAGTGGGGGGAAATGCCCCAGGGATTGGTGAAAGAGCCAGACGGTTCAGAGGATCAGGTGAGTATAACTTTTTTCTTTTTACCCTAGGCAAAAAGAAGCACTTAACCCTTAAGGTGCCCATACACTGCACGATTCTCGTACGAGAATCGCGGGAAATCCCGCGATCGTATGAGAATCGTGCAGTGTATGGAAGGCGTTCGACCGTTTCTACTGTACGGTCGCACGTCTTCCGTCACGCGCACACAGCCCGTTTGCAGTCATCGTAAGCCCGCCCCTCATTGCAGTCATCATAAGCCCGCCCCCCATGGGGGTGGGCTTGCGATGATCGTGAGTATGATCTGCCTGTCCAAGATGGGCAGATCGTACGTTTGGCCACCTTTAGAGTGCGGGGGTAGCCCCACTGTAAGGGTGAATACAATTTCTGCCCACAGTTCTCCTTTAAACATTGATTAACAAGCTCTATTGTTCTACAATTTACTTTTCCTGGACTAGGAAAATGACTGTGTAATTGAGTAATGGTGCAGATTGCTTCTTTGTGCATCTCAAACAACAGCATAAGGATTGTGTTCATTAGGACACACAACATCCAAGTTGCATCAATGTTATAATAATGCCTGAGTATAGATGTATACAGTTCACTATGAGATGTTTTATAATAATCAATCCTGCTAAGTACTGCAATTTAGGCTTAAAGTGACATTAAAGGATATATTTTTTTCCCTCCCCCCATGTTAATGTCACCACTTACCTTAAATGATGTCTCTTAATCCGATCTTCTTCTTCTTTCCTGATGTTTTCATCTGTCCCTCCAGCGGTGCGGCGGCTCTCCGATCCAGCGCTGACTCCTCTCTGCTCGCTGGCACTTCTGATCCCACGGTGTCTGCATGCGGGTGGGATCAGAAGTGCTCCCGGCCGAGAATCCGAACTGCGCCTGCGCTCGCCACAAGATGCTTTGGATGCGGGAGCGCGCAAGCAAACATAAGGTAAGTTTAAACCGCTGTTAAAGAGTTCTTTTTTTTTTTTAAACTGTTTGCCTATATCTACTGCTTGATAGCAGTAGATATAGGCAAAGTAACGGGAGGGTTTAGAACCCATTTAAAGCAACCCTGTCACTATAGTTCCAATATTATGTGAAGCCATAACTTCTAAAAAAACAAAACAGTAAATATTAGCCTTTCCTGCTGCCCATGATGCTGAACATCGCTCCGCTTCTGAGTTATCTTTTTTTTTAAAGAATATTTATTTATTTTCGTTCAGTTGATTTCACATCTTACATCAAAATATAAACAATATTTTATACATATACTGTATAACCCTTACAGCATAATTTTCCTCTCCATTCTTAACAATGGTTTACCTCTATATATCATACATTAAAATAACATATCCCTCCTTCCTCCCCCATACCCAGGGAAGAAAAAAAAAAAACAAACTCTTACCATTGTGGACCTAGACTTTCAATTTTACATCTTTTTTTATAGACTCTAAATGTTCAATATATTCCCTCCGAGGTCTCCACCTTTCTACAAACCCCATATATCTATCATTTAAGCGGGCTGTGAGCTCCTCCATATGCATGGTATTATTCAATTCCAGTACCCACTCGCGCACCTGGGGTATATTTGATGTCCACCAATAGCACGGGATTATCGCCCTTGCTGCTGCCAATATATGGCACAGTAGTCCTTTTTTTTAACTCTGTTAACTCTTTTTTTTAACTCTTTTTTAACTCTGTTACTCTGGGTTCACACCTAGGCATATCGAATATGTGCGTTTGTCACGCGTTTTTACCGTGATTCACGGTAAAAAAAACGTGCGACAAACGCGTGTTTCCGACGGCTACCTGGCTGTATCCCAATTGATACGCGCGGCAAATACGCCCCAAAGAAGCTCCTGTACTTCTTTGGGCGTAGGGCATTTTGCAGCGCGTTCCTACGCGCTGTAACACGCCCAGGTGGGAACCATGCCCATAGGCAATCATTGGTTTTCACATGTTGAGCGTTTTACAGAGCGTAGGAATGCGCTGTAAAACGCCCAGTTGTGAACCAGGCCTAACACCACCTCAGGAGTCTCCGGCAAGCTCAGCCCTCTCAACTGACGCCCTATCTCAAAGATTAATCTCCAGTATTGACTTAGCTGTTGATATGACCACCATATATGTACCACCTGAGTTATCTGCTTAAAGTGCAACTGAAACAAAAACTATTTTGTTTTCTTTTGGATAGAGTAGAGATAGATTATAATGCCTGTCAGGTTTTTATTGCCGTCTGTGTGCCCAATAAAAAGATTCATCCCTCTATTTTTCCTGCTGGCCATTATCACTGAAAGGGAAAGAAAATCCCAAATTTTGGGTTGTCATGAAAACAGGAATAGATTGGAAATCTTCCAATGGGGACACTAGTTCTGGTGACCCAGCTGGCCACCAATGATTTTCCCTCTATTTGGAATGATTTCCTCTCACTTTCTTTTGGGGCTATTGAACAGGAAGTGAAGGTAAATCTACCCAAAAAAAGCTGACAGGGCTTATATCCCTCCTTTACTCAATTCAAGCCTAAAAAAGTTTTGGCTTCAGTTCTACTTTAAGTCAGCACTGAAATCAACACTTTTTGCATGAAGGAGGAATCAGTGAATGCTGTGAGAGACCCAGGAAATCAAAACTCCAGAGAGAGCAAATTTCAGCACCAGATTATGAAGGATCCAAGTGGCGTTTAGTGGTGCAGACAGCAGGAATGATGAGTATGAAGTGTTTTACAGGTTCGGCCTCATGAATATAAAAATCATGAATATAATGACAGGCTATCTTTCAGGAAGCTACTACACATATATTTACTTAAAGTAGCATTAAGGCCTGAGCGGTTTTTACCTTAATGCATTCTCCAGTACCTTTTTCTCCTCCAGTCTCCCCCACACTTACCTGTCAGCACAGTGTCACCGCCGCTGGTCCTGAATAGGGATGTGCTCGATGTTCGAGTCGAGCATGAGTTTGCCTCGAACATTGGCAGTTCGTGTGTTCGGCGAACACACAAACTGTCGGGGCGTTCGGCGGTCTATTCACCCTCCGAGCTCCCCTCAAGGCACTGTGCACCGCTCAGTGCCTTGTGAGCCTCGATTGGCTAAAGCCTTGCACCTGACCACATTTGCCCAATCAGGGCACAGTACTCTGCCAAAGCCATGATTGGGTAAAGTCATGATGGCTCCCAATCATGTCATCGCTAGCTCCGCCCAATTGTTTATATGTTGCCGGCATCTGTCAAAATGCCATTCTGCAGCGGGAGTTCGTCGTGAGTGGACGGATCGGCTGGCGTTGCTTTTTTATTATTATTTCAATTTTTTTTGTTTTCTTTTTTATGTTGTCGTGGACAACGCTGGATGTCGTGATTGACTCTGGATTACGTCGATGGGTCCATTTTTTGGGGTCTTTTTTTAAAAGTCTGGCTTTTAAAAAAAACTTTTATTTAACCCTTTAGTGAATGGGTAGGGGTACAAGACCATTGATACATGGAAAAAAAACTTCTCAGGGTAGTACCCAAATGCCCATGCACCTTTTTATGGCCAATAAATTGCATTTAAGGCTTCAAAATGGGGACAATTGATTTTCAAAATTCTAGCCCCATAGACTTGCATTGAGTTCAAGTTCGAATTAAATTTGTTTTCATGTTTTAAAGTTTGAATTCGAACCGAACACAGGGGTGTTTGGCCCATCACTAGTCCTGAAGCGATCCTCCATTCCCCATTCTTCCTGGTTGCGGGGGAGGATACTGAATGCAGAGGAGCCATAGGCTCCTTCTGCCCTCAATCAACCTGTTGGGAGGGGAGTGGCCTGCTGCAGGGCTGTGTTTGTCTATGGACGCACACAGCCATTGCGGGGACGAGCACACACGGGTGCTTCCATAGCAACTGCTTAGCTGATGGAGCATCCGTGCAGGGGGCGGAGGGATGAGCGCTGCAGGGACCCACAGGAAGACAAGGAATTCAACTTTTTTAAAGGAGAAAAGCAGATTTAGTTAAAGGTAGGCCTCCTAGGTGGAACCAAAAATAAATGATCACTTTAATTCAATATACTGATACATTCAACTTTTGCGTTTAGCTGTGTATACAGGCCACACACTATGGAATTGTACAAAAGTAGAAATATCTGAGAACAAATATTAGAACATAAGAAAAGTGGCTAAAAAAAATGAGGTTGTAATGTGTGTGACCAATGTCGTAATCTATTTAGGTCTAAAAGAGATGTTCCACTTCATCCAATCAATGTTGCAGTTTAAGTGAGCCTCACACCTTTGGATTCCTGTACAATCAAATAATAACATGGCCATCTTTAAACACAATTATCTTGGACTTTACCACAAGTCAGCCTTTGAAAATCCCAACCGAAATCCAACTTTAAGGTAATATTCAAGGACAGCACGTGCACTGCCCATCCTCCTTCATTGAATGTTACCCACATCTCACCATCCGCTGAATATTTTTTGCCTCATCATGTACCACTACAACCTGGTGACACTTGCTACACATGGATGGGCAAAGTTCAGCTGCCATGCTTAAGAGGTGGACTGTACAAATCCCAGTGGGACATCTGCAGTACAAGGCAGGATAAGTGGGCAATTTGGTGAAT